TTCCATTTGCCCTATTTGGTACTAAAGGCTCTCTCTGGCATGGAACTGATGGAAGAAATAAAAGTTATCTATACTTTCCATCATTGCGACCTGAAAATATTTCCAAAGTACAGGGACAGGCTGGCTCCATCCTACCACAGAAATCTTTCACTAAAGTGACAGTGGCACTTAATACTTGTTAAGATAGCTCCCATGGACCTGTGTCCTTGTACAGGATCTTGGGTCCTCAACAAAGAATTGACAGCGATGCCCTCTGAAGACCATCGTGCTAGTTCTGGGAGGACTGTAGCGCCATCTGAATATGTAGCGCTGGGGGACAGGCTCCTCTGTGCTGAAACAGGTCAGTGGCTGGTTGGCCGGGATGTAACCTGTGCACTCAGAGTGGAGGTGCTGTGAGCGAGAGGGAATCTAATGCCAATATCTCACAGCGGTTGCTCCTCAGAGAAAAAAAAAATTCCTCCTGAACCACATATCCTTCCATTTCTTACAGGAAAGCTCCATTATAATCTCGTGGGACCACCGTTGTATATGTGGTCTGTCGCTGACTGAAATGTTGCTGTGCGGCACATAACTGTACTTTTGCTTCCAATGGTTTCTTGAAATTCAAGGCATTATTTATATTAAAAGGAAAAAATAACAGGTAAGAATATTTATCTTCTCGAAATTAAGTACAATGTAACTAAAAGTCAATAATTTTAAATATATATTTAGGCTCCCCTAAAAAATATTTGCTGAATATTAAAATTTAAATGAAACAAAACAGGTCAATGAACAGAGACAAAGTAAGCAGATGAAGTTCTTCAAGGACAATTTTCAGTGCAACTTGATGCCAAGTACCAATGGAATTTCTAGACAGAGAAGGGCAACAGCTTAACCATATCAGTAGATTAACCACAGAACTGAATCATTAAGTTTGAAGAGAAACACCTACAGAATAGCAATTGAAATGATGGAGAGGAGAGAGGGTGATGTGTTCTGGGACTTATATCCAGCTGCTGCAGTCCTATGTCATCAGCTATATGTAAATCTGAACTCAAATGCAATCTGGTCTGCTAATGTGTAAATGGGCTAATGTGAGTGAACAAAATACTTGGCAAAAATCTAAATTCTGAATTTGGCTAGGTCAGATAATGGTTGACTGAACTGAAAATATGTCAAATGGTCATGTTTTCATGATTTTACTCTTCACCAGTGTTATTTGAGTTATCTGAATGCCTTACAGCCCCACTGGAAAAACAATTATTAAATGGTTAAACTAATTACAATTTCATAAACATGGAATAAAAAAATATTAAATTAGATTATTAAAAATTTAATAATTATAGTGGTTATAAGTTAAATGGTGGTGTCCTACAATATGAAATTATGAGATAAAATGGTGATTGAAAAACTAGTTCCACAAAGTACAAATCTTAATGAACTAGAAATGCTTAGAAAAAAAAGTATTATAATTAAACTTTATTGTTAGTTGGTGTTAATTCTTTAGTATCATGGGCATGGTTTGTTTTAACCCTTCTTGAGTAGTTTGCGTTTTACCCATAAAATCATCATCATCTAAGTTCTGATGGTCGGTCATAAGATAAAAATTTTGTTTGATGGTAAACTTCTACATTTACTGAACACCTTTGTGTGACATTCATTGTTTAAGCAATCAACACATCTTTTAACTTTAGCAAATTTTTAGTTTTGTTTTGGGTTTCATTTATTCCGTTGATTCTTTTCAACTTTCACTTGTGACATCTGTCATCGAAAACAAACCAGTTCCTATGTTTCCAGGAAAAAGAAATTCTACCAAATTTATTGTAAGGAATAAAGTAGCAATACCAGCTCTACATATAGTCCTGGTCACAAATAATATTACAAGAACATTTACATTAAATTTTACTCCACTTACCTACCTAGGGCCTGGTTTAAGGCCCTATATGCTTGAATTTCATACCACTGACGACCAGGTAAAAGACCTCTCAATTGTGAATGCTGGTCATTGTACCGTCGCTTTAGTTCAACCTAATAATTTTAAAACATATTAAAAATATAGTAAATAATTAAAGCTCATTTAAAAAAATCATATTAACTTCTAACATTTCAAACATCATTTTATTAGGGTAGAGAGATTTTGATTTTCAGTACTAAATTTGTTTAAGTTCACTTAAAACATTTTTACTCATCCTTACATTCCCTAAATTCCTACATGTACGTAATTAATGTCCTGTGTGACAATGTCAATCAGTTGTATTGAGAAATAATTTACATACAATAAAATTCACAAAACTTCAATGTACATGGAACGTAAGTTTTGATAAATGTATAGTCTTATAATCACCATCACAATCAGAATGTAGATTATTTTCAGCACCCTGAAAACTTCCCTCCTATCACTTTTCAGTTAATCTCCTTCACTGCTGACCCTGCTAATCAATGATCTGCTTTCTGTTTTGCTTTTTCTAGAATTCCATGTAAATGTTATCATACGACATGTAATTATTTGTGTCTGTCTTTTGTCATTTAGCATAATAATTCTGGAATTCATTTCATGTTGAAAAGTATATCGGTAGTTCATTCTTTTATGTTTTATGCAGTCTGATAATCACTGCTTTTTAATCGGGAAGTCTAAATCATTCATATTTAATGTAATTATTGTTATAATTTGGCTTAAATCTATAGCAGCAGAATATACATTCTTTTCCAGTACACATGGAATATTTTCCAGGATAGATTATATGTTGAGCCACAATATATATCTTAAGAAACTTAAGAAGACTGAAATCATATCAAGTATCTTTTTTTCAACCACAACAGTATGAAATTAGAAATCCATAACATGAGGAAAATGGAAATATTCACAAATATGGAGAAATTAACATACAAATGAACAACCAATGGGTTAAAGAAGAAATCCACAGAAAAAGAAAAAACAAAGATCTCAAATAAACAACCTAACTTAATACCTAGAAAAAGTAACTCAAAAGATAACTATCTCAAAGTTAGCAGAAGGAAGGAAACAACTAAGATGAGGGCAGGAAAAATGAAATAGACAACAGAAAAAAAAGACAAAAATCAATTAAATTAAGAGTTGGTTTTCTGAAAAGATAAACAAAACAGATAATCTTTTGCTAACCAAGGAAAAAACTCTCAAAATTATAAATGAAAGAGTAGATTACAATTCATACTACAGAAATACAAAGGATCATAATACTATGAATAATTATATGCCAAAAATTAATAACCTGGAAATAGATAAGCTCCTAGAAACATACAACCTACCAAATGACTAAATGATGAAGAAATAGAAACTCTAAACAGACCTAAAACAAGTAAAGAGATTAAAGTAGTAATAAAAATTCTCCCAACAAAGAAAAGCCCAAAACCAGATAGCTTCCTCTGTGAATTCTACCAAGCATTCAAGGAAGAATTAACACCAACCTTTCTCAAATTCTTCTGAAATATTGAAGAAGAAGGAACACTTCCAAACTTATGTTAAGAAGCCAGTACTACTCTCATACCAGTATCAGATACAGACATTACAAAAGAAAATTATAGGGCAATACCCCTGATAAACATAGTTGCAAAAATCCTCAACAAAAAACCAGCAAACTAAATTAACAGCATATTAAAAGAATCATACACCATGATCAAGTGGGATTTATCCTCAGGACACAAGATTGGTTCAACATACAGAAATCAACAAATGTTAATATACCACTTAACAGAATTAAGGATAAAAATCATATGATCATCTCAATAGATGCAGGAAAAGCATTTCACAAATTCAACATCATTTTATAATAAAAAAAAAACCTCTCACAAAATTAGGCATGGAAGAGGTGTGTCTTAATATAAAAGGCCAAGTAGACAAGCTCACAGATAACATTATTTTGATAGTGAAGAGCTGAAAGCTTTTCTTTTAAGATTAAGAAGAAGACAAAGGTAGCCATTCTCATCACTTCTATTCAACAAAGTACTGAAAGTGCTAGCCAGAGCAATTAGGCAAGAACAAGAAATAAAAGGTCACCAAACCAGAAAGGAAGAAGTAAAATGATCTCTATTTGCAGACAATATGATTTTATATGTAGAAAACTGTAAAGACTTCACACACAAACACACAAAAAACCCGTTAGAACTCATAAACAAATTTATTAAGGTTACGGGATATAAAAATCAACATACAAAAATCAGTTACATGTTTATACACTAACAACAAATTATCCAAAAAAATGTTAGGAAAACAATCCCATTTACGATAGCATCAAAAAGAATCTAAAACTTAGGATAAATTAACAAAGGAGATGAAAGATCTTTACAATGAAAACTATAAGATGAAAGAAATTGAAGAAACATGAATATATGGTAAGATCCTGTGATTATGAATTGGAAGAATTAGTATTGTTACTATATTACAAAACTCTAGTAATTAAAACTATATGGTACTGGCCTAAAATCAGACATATAGTCCTATGGAACAGAATAGAGATTCCAGAAATAAACCCATGCATATATAGTTATCTCATCTTTGACAAGTGCACCAAGAATACACAATGGGGAAAGGATCGTCTCTTCAAGAAATGGTGGTTAAAAAACTGGGTAGTCACATACAAAAGAATAAAACTGAATTCTTATCTTATATCATACATAAAAATCAATCAAAAATGTATTAAAAACTTAAATGTATGACCTGAGATCATAAAATCCCCAGAAGAAAATGGAAAAAGTTCCTGGGCATTGGTCTTGGCAATAATTTTTTTAGATATGACACCCAAAGCACAAGCAACAAAAGCAAAAATAGACAAGTGAAACTACATCAAACTAAAAACTACTGCATAGCAAAAGAAACAATCAACAAAATAAAAAGACAATCTACAGAACATGAGAAAATATTTGCAAACCATATATCTGATAAGTTTTGTATCCAAAAATATAAAGAATTCATTCCACTAATAACAACAAAAAAACCCAAAAACCTGATTTAACAAGGAGTTAAGTAAAATTAGACTGCTATTTGACACCATACACAAAAATTGACTCAAAATGGATCGAAGAACTAACTACCAGACCTGAGACAAAATACATAAAAGAAAACATAGGTACTGAACTTACGGACCTTAGTCTCAAAGAGTATTTTATGTATTTGACCCCAAAGATGTGGGAAGTAAAAGCAAAAATAATGAATGGGACTGCCTTAAACTAAAAAGCTTCTATACAGCAAAATAAACCATCAACAAAACAAAAAAGCAACCAACCAAATGGGAGAAGATATTTGCAAATAACATCTCCAATAAGGGGCTAATCTCCAAAATATATAAAGAACTCATACAACTCAACAATAACAATAACAATCCTATTAAAAAATGGGCAGAAGACCTAAACAGACACTTCTCCCAAGAAAACATACGGCCAACAGATATATGAAAAGATGCTCAGCTTCACGAGTTATTAGGAAAATGCAAATCAAAACCACAATGAGATACCACTTTGCACCTATTAGAATAGCTATTATCAATAAGACAAGAAATAACAAATGTTGGAAAGGTGGGGACCAAGTGACCCTCATACACAGCTGGTAGGAATGTAAATTGGTAGAGCCACTATGGAAAACAACATGAAGGTTCCTCAAAAAATTAAGAATAGAGCTACCATATGACCCAGCAATCCTTCTTTTGAGTATTTACCCAGAATATCTGAAAACATTCATTCGTAAAGATATATGTACCCCTATATTCACTGCAGCATTATTCACAATAGCCAAGACATGGAAACAACCCAAGTGTCCTTTGATGGATGATGTAGTACATATATACAATGGAATACTACTCAGCCACAACAAAAGATTAAATACTGCCATTTGCGACAACATGGATGAATCTTGAGAGTATCATGCTAGTCCCTTATCAAAGAGACTCCGAATAACAGGGCATTTAAACCACATTCTTAATAAGAGCAGTGTCACACCAAAGGCTACTACATACCCAGCCTTCAGCTGGTCTTCATAAAAATCTTTAAAATTACATAGTCCCTAGAGTTACTATTTTCATACAAGGTAAGAATGTATGGTATACACAGTTCAGACTGACCTATTCAAATATATAAGTTAATGACCTTTTTATCCTGTAAAAAGCTCACCTGTGAAAAGTAAAATGCAAGTTCTGTGAAAGGAAATTATTATGATTTTAATTTTTCATAAATAGAATGAAAAAAGGGAATTATGTTTTAAGCAGGTCTCAAGAATGCTATAAAGTCAACTATGCCTCAATAAGGCTTTAAGAAACCTAAATAAAAAAGAATGCTGTAGGAATTTTAAAAATATAACATTTAAAGTAGAAAAATTGATATAACGAGAAGAAGAAATTTTTGGTAGCTTAAAGAAACACTCAATTCAGTTCAATATTTACAGTTCTGGCTGTGTGCAAGGCATCTATGATAGGAACTAGATATACAAAGATGAGTAAAAAATATTTTCTGCCTAGTAAGAGCTTACAAAGAACAGAACAAATATAAATACAAATGGCCATCAAGTAAATATAAGTATTAAAATATTAACTTTGATTACAGTACATAGATATAAGAAGAGTTGAGGAATGAAGACATGCTACGAATTTGGTGCAAGAGTATTGAGGGCCTTACCTGGAAAGGCAAAGGGAATAGAAAAGAAGCCAAGTTTGTAACACATTGTAGAGCTACAAAATTTAAGTGACAATGTAGAGATGTGGGGCTTATTAAAAAGAGAAAAAAGTCAAAACTGAATCCAAAGTTTCCAGTCACTGAGAGAAGCAATCCAGTAATCTACCGAGAGATGACAAGAAGAGAATTTTTAGGAAAAGGATAATTTGGGTTAATCCATGTTAAAGAAATAATTTATAAACCAAGAACAGAAGTTGATAATGAGTTAGTTAAACTGAAAATCAAAATTGGAAAAGTTGGGAACCAAGATTTTATTATGAAATGATAATAACATCTATTGAGCACTTATAATGTTCCATGAACAGTGCAGTTCTTACTATGTATTATCTCAT